TACTAACACTTGTTTGAACCTGAACTAAATGTTGCATCTTAGATTGACACTAGGTGATTAAGCACTTGAATCACAAAAATCTCACTCTTTCTCTATTGTTTTCATCAACCTTCTACCTTGTTCTCTTTTAATTAGTTCTTCTTTTACAATCAATCAATCAATCAATCAATCACCCTTTTTCGATAAGATTGGCTTATCGTGAATAGATTAGTATCTAGTGTTTGATACGCCCCACTTCCTTGTGGATCGATAACCCGATACTCTGGGTATTTATTTGTTTGTCAAATATACTGCAATCACTTAAAAACGTAAAATCTTTGGTGACGGCGCTGACACGCTTTCAACTAGCTTACACATAATAATATATATGCTCAGACCAGAGAAGGTGAGGAAGGAAGGAGGTGAAGCTTTGTTCTGCGTTTTCATTCGAACAAGATGAAGAACTATTCATAGCGCAAGGTTCAACTGATTCTTTTATACAAACCACACAATTATGCTCTATATTAGGGGATAATATATGTTGAATGATCCCACGTCTCATAATTTGCGGACAAGGAGAAGGAGTATATTCTGCACTGGTCCAAAAATTAAGGCATGTTAAATAGCCTTCTTTATGAATGGTTTTCCAACAGCTACTGCCTCTTAGGAGTCTCAGCTCTCCATACTGCCTCTCTCGTCTCCTCCCAGGACTCAGGAGTCCTTATCGGTTGTGGCTCTATAACCTCTATGCCTCTATCCTCGCACGGTCGCACCTGGCAGCCTCACCAGTCGCCACCAAACACGGAACACCGGTGACCTATCGCCGCCTCACCAGTCAGCAAGAGTCCTCGTTGGTTCCTAATCTCCTTCTCATAATCTTAGCCTCACAAACTTACGTTCATAGTTCCTAATTGGCTAATTATTTTTTGCCCTAATTTCTCTAATTTTCTTAAATCTTAGACTCTTAGTTATACTGGATTTTATTGATGTTGTCGTGTATTAGATCTCAATTTGTTTTACTAAATGCCTAAATTACAGCTTGTATATGAATGTGAGTAGTGAGTTACCCACTGCGAGTATGTCTAATATTGTTTTTAATGTATGTGCTTTTCGGATGATTAATTGTCTAACTAGAGTTAGGCTCTTGAACATTAATTCTTGTCGATTTGCTTATTGAAACTCTGTGAAACTTAGTACAGCTAGCATAAAACTCCAGAAGACACATTGAAGTAGAAGTTTCAATCTCTTATTTTTTATGTTTTCCTAATTTTGTTTTCCTTAATTTAGTAATTTCTCTAATTTGGTTTTTGCCATAATTTCCCTAAATCTTAGTTATACTGGATTTTTATTGGTTCAGTTATGAAAAAAGTCTTCAAAAGAAAATCAACTTTTGATGATTCATCTAGTCAAGATAGTCGCGAAATATCAATTACAAGGCCTCGTATTGAAGTTAACATAGATGAACTTGATGTTGATCCGGCTAAAAGGAAAAGTATATATGAATATCATATCAATGATATAGATAAACCTTGTATTGTAGTTTATAATGTATTTTGTATTTTAAGAATCTTATTCGTATTTGAACCTTTTATTTGAACATTTTTTTTAATTCATTTTACTTTTGCTTCTTCGCCCCACCCAAAGAAAATATTGGCTCCGTCCCTGTCTGTGGCTCTCCTTGAGGGAAGGTCACATGACCGAACCCCGATGGTGGGGTATTGACTCTTTGAACTACAACAGATAGCTAGAGAAAGTATAGAACATATACTACATTGTAATAGAGTTAATAGTACTCCAAAAAAATGGATTGAGATACGAACTTTTTGGATGGTGAATCCATTTTTCACTTGTAATAAAAGTTTTAACAATTTATGTCAAAATTTTATTATTTATATACATTATTATTCATATGTTGATAAACAATGATATATTATTTTAATTTAAAAGCTCAAGTGCAAAATAAACTCTCAAATTGTTTAAAAACATTTAAATGAAATATCTAATTTAAAAAATTTGCATTGACACTTGAACTTTTAAACAAAAATTGAAATTAGCATATGTTTACATATATGATATATGTAACCTACTATAACATGTTATTGTTGATATGACTTCAATCTATAACATTTTTTTTTTTTTTTGCATATATGTTAGTGTTTAGTATCTAAACCCTATTTATGTAATTGACAAATTATTATGGCAATAGTTAGATTAAGACTTAGTGTAGTTGGTTCGTGATTGACTGAAGATTTGGCGGAACAGAACCTGCAACAGCGATGTCCATAATCTATTCCAGGTGGCGATTTTTACGGTCGGATGTGGAAATAACTACTTTGAGGCAGATTGCAAGAATATCCAAGATTAATTGAGAGACCCAATGGTTAGTATTTTTATTCTCTCAATTATAACATCAAGGGTGAAAGAGTAATTGCATTACAAGGAAAATATCTTGGAAGTTACTCTCATATAACTTCTGAGTATTTATATTATAGTGAGCAGTTAATTTTAGAGAGATGAAAACATTTTTTTTATTGAAGAACCTCTACAAGTTTTACAAGAAATACTCTGAAAATATTCTCTCAAGATATTCATCTACAACCTGAATTTACATTGATCTTGAAGAGAAGAAACTCAAGTAATTTATCACTTCAAAGACTGTATTCCATATTAGTTGTGGTGTAGCGATGGGTGAATAAGAGGGCCAGACAGTTGCATTTGAGATCTCCGGGCTCTAAATCAATTCAACTATGGTTACATACCAATAGTTATGCTGTGCAACCGAATGCACCATGCGCATGGTGCATACGATGCAAAACGACGTTGTTTTGACTAAAAACGCGCGTTCCACTTTAAAAAAAAAATCAGGTTCGATTCTCGGCAATAACATTATTGTGGATATATAGTTATGAATTTCTGGATATATAGTTATGAATTTATGGATATTTAGTTCATTCATTGTAGATATTTAGTTCATTCATTGTAGATATTTACTTCATTCATTCACTGTGGATATATAGTCACTGCTGGAATTTCGCGATTTTCCGACCACATTTCCGACCACCCAAAATTTTGGCCGCAAAAAGTAACTTTTTTCCATTTTTGCGACAGGAGGTTGTAGTGGTCGGAAAGTGGTCGTAAATTCCGACCACTTTCAATACGTGGTCGCTATTTCCGACCACTGTTTACATTGTGGTCGGAAACGTTTTGCCAAATTTAATTTTTGAAATTAGACTTCGTTTGCGACCACCCTAGTGGTCGGTAATTCCGACCACCTTTGGATGGTGGTCGGAATATTTTTTGGGAGTTTAAATTTGTATATTAAGTATGAAATATTTTTGGAAGTTTAACTTTGTATACTAAGGAGTTGTAGAAAATACCAACCACAAAGTAAAGGTAGTTGGAATTTTTTTTTTTAAATTATTATTGTGGTTCAATGGTATGAAAGCCCATAATACACATAAACTCTTAACATAATACACATCAATTCATAACATAATAAACATAAACTCTTAACATAATAAACATAAACTTTTAGAGCTCACAATGCATTATGCACCCTAGTGCACAATATAATTTTCCATGAAGGTCACATGATTTTTTTATATATATAATTGATTATTTCACACATACTTTTTTTTTTTTTTTTCAATTTCAATTGACAATAACGCATAGAGTTTACTAGTGGATACCAACTCACCATTCTTGATATGAAAAATAAGACGATGTTGCTTATTCCATATAGATACATGAAATCATTTTCGAACTTCAACTCTTTAAAACCTTTATTCTTGTTAGGACTCTACAGTCCTAGTTCTATTCAGTTTCATATTCCTACATAATGTATTGTATATCATCATGTATTGTACTGCGCATATTATTGTTATCGCAGAATACAAACATTCATATGACAACAGTAGTTAGTGTAGTTAATAATATATGTGACTTAGATTAGTTGACCTCATCTACAGCCTATTGTATATGAACATCTACGTTACTATTTGCTTGTATTATCCTTTCAAGATTCTGTTGTTGAATTGAATAGTTTTCCCATTCTCATTTGGTATTAGTTAGCCAAACTTATCTTCTCTCTCTTCTCCAATCGACAATGTCGACCAGTGCATCAGAACGCACTCTTACGGCAACCACCATCTCTTCCCCGGCCGCCACCTCCAACTCCCTAAACTCCGTCCACCACTTTATCTCAATCAAATTAACATCCCGCAAATACCTTTTTTGGCGTACCCAAATCATTCCCTTCCTCCGTGGCCAAGGTTTGTTAGGTTTTGTCGATGGTGGTCGATCGTGCCCGTCGTCAATTCTGGAGGCTGTCGTCGGCGACGGCTCCGACGAAGCTGTCTCAGCCATCACCGCCACTGCAAACCCGCCCTACGCTGCCTGGGTTCAACAAGATGCGTCGATCTTGTCTCTCCTCATCTCCTCCTTGTATTAGATTAGTTGACCTCATCTACAGCCTATTGCATAGAAATATCTACGTTAGTATATAATTATAATAAAAAATTTCTTTATAAAAATTATAAAAAATACACATTTATAAATATTTGAAATTTAAAACAATGTAATGGGGTGATTTTTAATTTAGATTTGAAATTTAAATATTTAAATTACTTTAATATTTTTTTTTAATGCTACTAACTCTTGCTTTCAATGAAGTTCAAACTCAGAACCTCCTATATGGAATGGTAACTTTACTGTCATTAGATCAAAGGTCTTAACAAATTATTTTAATATTTATTTTAATTAGTGTTTGAGAATTATATCTTTAGTATAAAAGTATAATTGATAAACTAGAATAATGAAAAAAAAAAATATCTGGCTAAGATTTCACCCCAAATTGGCGCCATTCATTTAGCCCCAAATTTTCGCTCCATTCCTTTTACACTACTCCCTCCTTCGCTCTTTCACTCCCTCATTCTCATATTTTGCCCCAAAATTTTGCCAATCCTTCGCTTTTCCCTCCTTCACTCCTTCGCTCTCTCACTCTCAGCGCAGCCCTTCACTTCTCCCTCCATCAATTTCCCATTCGGCCTTCCTCCTTCACGCCTCCAGCACCGGCACCAACTCAGGAGCCACTAGCGGCAGCAACCCACCGGCACCATCGCCCTTCACGTAAGCAATGTTGGGTTGTTTTAATTTGTTGACCTAATTTAGAGTTTTAATGAGTTAGGTATATTTATATGTATGTAGAAGATTTTTTTTTGCACAGGATGTTGAATATATATGAAATAGTGGAAGATCTTTTTGACCTAATTGAAACCTGCTTCAAGTAAGGTATTTGTAAGTTTCTTTATACTGTTTATCTTTTTCTTGTTTATGTCAAGCATTCTATTTGACCGAGATTTCCCCTTTTTGTGCTTGACTTTGTAATCAAGTGGAGTTGTTTGATGTTTGCCACCGTGTTTTACTTCTAAATCAGCTCATGCCACTAGGGTTTTTCAAGCTTTGCTAGCAACTCTGTCCACTATACTGTGATTTTTTTTTTTTTTTTAGAATTCCTGAATTGTTAATTGTGAATTTTGGTATGAAGGTTTATCTACACTTTGTAAGTGCCGCATCTGCTGATCTGCAGTGCTACTCTGCTATCGGCTTTTGAATTTTTATACCAGCAGCCTCAAGGTATAACTTTTTCTCCCCACAGGGCACAGGGTGAATGAATTGCTGAATTATGTGCAATATTTCTATCATACACTCATGCCTCTTGGCTACAGTAGCTTAGGTTGTCTGCTACTCCAGAAATATAAAAGTAGAACTGATCCTGTTGAACCATGTTCTATTGTCTATGTCCATTCAACAATAGGTGACCTAAGGTTAACCCATTAGTGTATTCCGTTGGGGATCTCTAACTCTATCAAAATGCTGTATTTCTAAATTTGGTGTACTATAGTAGTATTCTCCCTGAGTAATTTTGTGTTAATAACTTTTTGTTTCATTAAATTGCTTTTGTAACTTAGTAACTATCTTTGATATTTTAATGATTTTTGTAGGGCCTGGGACCTTATTCAACAAGCATAAAGAAAGCTGAAAAGGAAATCAAGGAAATGGCTAAAAAGATTAATGATTTATGTGGCATGTTTCTGGTCTTAGTCTAAATAATTTTTTTTCTTATACAATATGTGTTTCATGGTTCATGGGCATACAATATTACAACATATCAATAGCTTTTAGTGCTTGTTGGGTGGATCATTGCTTTGGGTTGAAAAGTGAACTTATAGCAGTGATTTCCTGTTGTTTTTCTGGTTTTTTTTTTTAAAAAATATTATATATGAAAATAATTTTTATGTTGCTCTAGGTATAACGGAATCTGACCCTGGCTTAGCTGCACCAAGCCAATGGGATTTGGTTTCTGATAAGCAAATGATGCAAGAAGAGCAACCCCTTCAGGTTTGTCTATGGGCAAGATTTGAACATGGGTTCTTTTATCACTCACATACTTTAAACTATAAGTTGCTGCTTGTGGACAGGTGGTGAGATGTACAAAAATAATCAGTCCTAATACTGAAGATGCAAAATATGTGATAAATGTCAAGCAAATAGCAAAGGTATGATGGCTTTCCTTTTATTGATCACTGTATGTATGCACTATCCAATATATGGGGACAAATTGTATATGCTAGTGAGTTACCTGAGAAAATAGTCTCAATTGGTTGACTGATATTACACCCTTTTTATTCCTGCAGTTTATTGCTGCAGTTTATTGTTGGATTTGGTGACAAAGTTTCACCAACTGATATTGAAGAGGGCATGCGAGTTGGGTATGTTCTCTTTCCCCCTCCTATATGCTATGCTAAAGGTCTGGGCGATTGATGTCTCACTGTCTGTATTCTATATGCTGTGCAGCCATTAAATGAATGTTCTAAGTTATTACTTGGATTGAACTGTGAGATAGGGAAGCTATTTATTCTAGGAGTAAGAGTTCTAGCCTGCTACTTTTTGGTGATTTTAATTTATTTTGATATATTTTGCAGCGTTGATCAGAATAAATATCAAATCCAGATTCCTCTGCCTCCCCAAATTGATCCAAGTGTCACCATGATGACAGTTGGAAAAGCCTGATGTGAACATATACTTTCTCAGGGTAAACCCTTTATAATTTCATTAATATAAGATATTATCATGGCATGAAATCTTAGATCACTAACTCTTTACTATAATTATAAATTAAAGTAGATGGTTCCTAATAATTAGTTCATAGTCACTGGCATGACAGCTTTGATAATGAAACTTGTAAGTTCAGCTTGTGCTTTTTTATATTGAATCATATTTTCATCTGTTGGGTCAGTCTATTTGTAGAGCTTATAGTCTTTCTTGGTGTTGTCCTCCAAAAATATAGTCAACACAAGCAAGGTATGAACTTTTATGGTCCTGTTTTCACATTTCTATATTATTTGTAACTGTATATGTATTAAGTGTTTCCAATCTATTGATCCTAATTTCCAGAGAGCCGGTAGCCATGAAAGTAGTGGCGTTGGGCTAGATGACTTTGGTTTCAATGATGATACACAATCTCCTACGCAAGCGGAATGGAAATAAAGATTCTAACTTCTTTTGTGATGCTTAATGTGATGTAAGAAGTATTTTGATTTGTAAAGTAACATTTTAGAATTAGAAACTAATTTTTTTAGAGGTGGATATTAGAATTGTGTAACTAAATTTGCTATTGAAATGTATAATTTTTGAAGTGATATTGTATTGTTATGCAATTATTACTTGTTTTAAAATTGTTAAAGTAATATATAATTTGTTAAAAAGTGCATATCAAAATAGTAATATTTTTTTTAAAAAATTACATATTCGAATTTCCGACCACCAAGAGGTCGGAAACAAAAACACCCACGAGGTGGTTGGTCTGCAATTCCCGACCACGCGGTGGTCGGAAATTCCGGATCCGCCATTCTTGTGGTTGGACCACCAACAAATGTGGTCGGTATTTCCGACTACCTTTGCAGGTGGTCGGAATTACCGACGGAGGTTTTTCCGGATACCCATTATGGACGGAAAAGTGGTCGGAAAGGGTGTTTCCGACCTGATTTAGGGCATTTCCGACCACTTTTCGGTGGTCGGAAATTCTGTGATTTCCAGCAGTGAGTTATGAATTTATGGATATATAGTTATGAATTTCTGGATATATAGTTATGAATTTATGGATATTTAGTTCATTCATTGTGGATATTTCGTTCATTCATTGTGGATATTTAGTTCATTCATTGTGGATTTTTATTTCATTCATTCACTGTGGATATATAATTATGAATTTGTGGATATATAGTTATGAATTTATGGATATATAAAAATGCTATTGCCAGGAATCGAACCTGATTTTTTTTTAAAGTGGAACGCACGTTTTTTAACCAAAACAACGTCGCTTTGCATCGTATGCACCATGCGTATGGTGCATTCGGTTGCACAGCATAATTTGCGGGTACATACACTGTGGGCCTGTGGGGTACAACACATACTGGTGAGACTGTTCTTTTGCTGTATGTTTGAACATCTGTTGAGATAGTGGATTGAATTTATTGTTGGTGGTCCCGGTTTGCATTGGGCTAGGTTATCAAACCTCTGTGTGTTAATTTTCATTTAATTACTGTTTGATTCTCTTATTTCACAATCAATAGTCTAATGTGTTAAATACATAACCAATAAATAAATCACTAAGTATAATCTAAACAAATAGTTTAAGTAATTTCAATTTAATCAAGTAAATTTGACTCAATATATAATTTTTACATTTTTTCTTTGACCAAAGGTCTTTTAAAAAAATGAATTAAATAGAATGCATGGGAGAAGGGTAGTCATGGTTGTCAATCTAGTTAGTCCATATTAGGCAACCGTCAAATAGGTTACCATGGTTATTTAGATCTAGACATAGATCGATAGCCATGACGCGGTTTGCATGGTTGTCCCGACTTGAATATCTTACCACGAATTGTCAATTCGTCATAGATGAGGATCTTTCATCCTCATCCTAGATTTGGAATGAGGGCGAAGGCCTCGTCTTGACTAACTTCATTCTTTCCATATAATTTTTTTTTGAGTACTATTGACTCTATTACAAGGTAATATATATTCTATACTTTCTTTATACTGTTGCAGCCCAAAAAGTCAATACCCCACCACCGAAGTTTAATTCTGTGACTTTAATTTTTCAAGGAGAGCCACATAGGTATCTGAATACAAGATGTTTGGTTTATAATTTACTTACAAACAAACCAAATTTAACTAACTTTGAATAGTTTTTTTTTTTTTTTTTTTACACTTTGGGTCCCATAATTATAAAATCACTCTCACATTTGGTCTTCAAATATTATTTTTGTCATATTTGGTACAAGTATGATTACTTTTTCACATTTAGCTCTTCTTAATAGAAAACAATTGTAATACATTGCACTTTTAGTTCAAAATCATACTATCTTGAACAGTTTGATACTTTTGGGGAGAAAATGTATAGCTATAGATTGAAAATGAGATGCATTTAAACTGATATTTATTTAAAATATTATCAAAAGAACCAAATGTAGACATGCACTAAATGTAATAAAAATAATACTTACAAACTAAATGTGAAAGAAGTTACATTACTATTATATCAAACATATAGTCATATTTCATTAAAATTATTCCTTCCATCTTGTAAAAGATCTGATCATGGAACCCAACTCTTTTCTCTCTCTCTTTTGGGAGGCAGCCGGCAGGGATTATCATTGGAAATATCTTTGGAACACAAAATCTAATAATTTCATTTCATAATTAGATTGACCATCACAATTGAAAGCTAGAGTGAGCAGTGTTGTACAAAGTCAACCTAACCAGAGAGAGGCATAGGCCAATCATGACTGCCACTGACCTCAGAAGACCAAACAACTAGGGGTGTGCAAAACTCGAAAATTCCGACCCACCCGACCGACTCGAAACTCGACGGGCGCATCCATGCCGCGAACCGTATCCGAATACCCAATCCGAACCGAGGCTACGCTATTAGACGGATGCAAGGGGTTCGGGTGGGAGGCATTAAACGCCACCCGAACCCGTCCGATTACCCGACTAAACCCTAGGGTTTTTTTCCGCTATATAATACGATGTCGTTTGGTGTATGTATATATATCACTCATTTCATTGAGCGCAGCCGAGCTCTCAGTTCACTCTTGACTCTTCTAGACTTCTCTCAATCTCTCATCTCTCATCTCTCATCTCTCGACTCTCGTTCTCTCTTTCGCTCTGGTCTTTGAGACTTTGAGTCTTAGACTCTTAGTGTCTTACTCTCTAAGACTCTGAGAGTCTTAGTCTCTGTTTGTTAGTATGGTGGAAGCCCTATTCGGAGACTCAGAGTAGCGACTGGCGGAGTGGTGGAACGGTGGAAGCCCTAGACCCTAGTCCGGTCACCGGAGTCTGGTGGAACTGTGGAACGGTGGAATAGTGGATTCGAAGCCCTTTGTTCTCGAGGGATTAAATCTGAGAAGCGAAGTGATTACTAAACCCTATTTACATTTCTGTTATAGATTATTGTGTATTTGTCTTCTTGATTATGGTTTCTAATTTTTATAATTATGTGGACTGTGATACTTGTAAATCCGTTGAGAAGTTCCGGATTGCATGTCACTAGTCCTTTGAGTTTGAATTTGTGAATTGTGTGATTAGGGTTTCTAATTTGTAACGTAAATATGTGGACTCACTGGACTATGATACTTGTAAATCCGTTGAGAAGTTCCGGATTGCATGTCAGTAGTTCTTTGAGTGTGAATTTGTGAATTGTTTGATTAGGGTTTCTAATTTGTAACCTAATCTGTGGACTCACTGGACTATGATACTTGTAAATCCGTTGAGAAGTTCCGGATTGGATGTCAGTAGTTCTTTGAGTATGAATTTGTGAATTGTTTGATTAGGGTTTCTAATTTGTAACCTAATCTGTGGTGGAAGCCATACTACCCTAGCCCCTTGCCAGTTGCCACTGTGTGTTAAATACTGAAATCCATATAAATGTTAAGCATGATGGTATTTGTGTGGAAGCCATATATAAATGTCGGAGTGTGTCTTGTACTCATGTGTGACTGAAATCCATATAAATGTGGCAGTGTGTGACTGAAATCCAAATAAATGATGAGCATATAAAGTAGCATACACCTACTTAGCTTGAATGCCTGATTATGGATTTCATTGTAAATTGTAATTTGTAAGTTGTTAGTTACTTAGTTGTAAGTTGTAACTGTGAAAATGTGAAATTGTAAGTTTATGGATATGTGACCCTTAAATCATTTATGTGCAATTCTGCATACATGATGAAATGTTCAATTCATTGAATTCTGCCTGTTTAACACTTTAATTGATACATGTGTGTATGTGACAAAGGCCATTCTCTGTTGATGATTTTGAATGAATGATTTCCCGTTCTGTGTCACTGATACTTTCCCCTTTTTAGATGGAAAGTGTTAGTGGTGTAGAGACTGTTACTGGTGTATCTGGAACACAACCTGAGTTGGAAGCACCTGCTGTAGAGACTGTTACTCCTCAGTCTCAGCAGCCTTTGCCTCCACCTGTTCCAAAGAAAAGGAAAGAGGTTGAATCCAGGGCTCAATGTTGGGATCACTTTGAAAATATCAAAGACAGTGAGGGCATTGTCATCAAAGAAAAATGTATATATTGTGCAAAAGTGTATTGCTGTGAGAGCAAGAAACATGGGACTTCTTCTCTCAGACTTCATGTGGTAAACTGCCTTAAAAATCCTCACTCTAAGGAGACAAGGCAGTCCCTACTCACATTCCAACTTGCACCTTCTTTTGCTGGAACTCAAAGTAGTGAAGGAACTGAAGGGGTGTTGGGTACTTGGGTGTTTGATCAAGACTTGATAAGGAGAGCCTTAGCTGAGATGATTATTTTAGATGAACTTCCTTTTAGGATTGTTGAGGGACAGGGTTTTAGAAAGTTTGTTTTAGTTTGCTGTCCTAGGTTTAAAATCCCTTCAAGATGGACTATCAGTAGGGACATTTTCAAGATATTTTCTGATGAGAGGGTCAACTTGAAGAAGTTTTTTAGGACTAGCAGTAAGAGGGTAAGTATCACAACTGATACTTGGACCTCAGTCCAGAGAATAAACTACATGTGCATAACTGCACATTTCATTGATAGTGAGTGGAAGCTGCAAAAGAAGATTATTTCATTTGTTCCTATATATTCCCACAAGGGGGAAAGTATTGCAAAGGCTTTAGAGAGTTGCCTTTTGGACTGGGGTCTAAAATCAGTGTTTAGTGTGACAGTAGATAATGCTTCCAGCAATGATACTGCCCTAGGATTCTTGAAGAAGAAGTTGGGCTCTTGGGGTTGTACTGCTGTTAGGTGTAAGTATTTGCACATGAGGTGCATTGCTCACATTCTTAACTTGGTGGTACAGGATGGGTTGAAAGAATGTGATAGTTCTGTTAAGAAAGTCAGGGATGCTGTTAGGTATGTGAGGAGCTCACCTGCTAGGTTGCAGAAGTTTAAATCACTAGCTGATCTAATTGGGGTGGAAGCTAAGAATTCTCTGTGTCTAGATGTCCCTACAAGGTGGAATTCCACATATATGATGCTTAATACTGCATTACTGTTTCAGAAGGTATTTGAAGCCTATGATGATCATGACAGTTCATTTAAATCTGATTTGGGTGGAAGTGTACCTGATTTCTTAGATTGGGAATCCATTCAATCTTTGGTTATGATTCTAAAATCTTTTTATGAAATGACTGTTAGGATTTCTGGATCATTGTATGTGACTTCTAATACCTTCTTCTCTGAGATTTCTGATTTGTCTTGCTTGTTGAAAAATATGGAGGAAGCTACAGAAGATAGTGTTAAACTGATGGGTAAAAATATGAGGGCAAAATTTGATAAGTATTGGGGTGAGCCTGAAAAAATGAATTTTTTGATATTCTATGCAAATATCTTAGACCCCAGGGACAAAATTGAGTATATGCCCATTCAGTTTAACCAGTTATATGGTGAGGACAAGGGTAAAACAATGTTTGATAAGGTGATTGTTGGCCTTAAGGAGTTGTTTGAAGATTATGTTGCATGCTTCCCTGTCCAGTGTGTTGAACAATCTGAAAAATTTTCTCCCTCAATAACAATATCTGATTCAGTTTCTGTTGGGAGACCTCAATCATTACTGAAATCTCAGATTAAGAAGCAAAAATTGGTGAGTGGGGATTTGTCTAGGAAAAAAACTGAGTTGGAAGTGTATCTCTCTGAGGTTATTGTGGATGAGGATGATTCATTTGACCTTCTAAGATTGTGGAAGCAACAATCTAAAAGGTTCCCTGTCTTATCTAAAATGGCAAGGGATATTCTAGCTGTTCCAATATCAACTGTTGCTTCAGAATCAGCATTCAGTACAAGTGGAAGGGTACTTGATGCCTTTAGGAGTTCCCTAACTCCTAGAATTGTTGAGGCATTGGTGTGTGCACAGGATTGGCTAAGGTTAAGCAACCAACCAATCTCAATTGAAGAAAATATTGAAGATGTTGAAAGGATTGAGAAAGGTATATACTTCTAACTTCCAGCAATGATCTGTTTAATTGTTTAAGTTTTAATTTCCATTTTGTTTTTGTACTGCAGAGTTGTGCTGCACATCCAGCACTGGAACTGGAATGCCTACAATTGTTGTATGTTTACTTATTTACTTATTTGATTTATGATTACTTATTTACTTATTTGATTTCATGATAAATTTATGCCTCTGTATCAGTGTATCATGTATGTGTATCAATGATTCAAATCAATGTCCCTCGTGAGGCTGGGAAGTTGGAACTGGAAACTGGAAAGTGTTCATGGCTAGGTAACATTTTAAATGTTGCTGTCATTGAGCTCAGGTATCAGTATAAGTACTGACTAAATGTCTAAATGTGACTTCTGACTTCTGACTCACTATACTTATAATTTATACCTGTATAAATGTTCATTATTGTGCTATGATGATGCTTCCACCATGTTCTCTGAATATATAGAATTGGGTTTGGTATGTTGCCTTTGAAGTGTGGTGTTTATGCCATACTCATTGAGTAGTGTGCCCCCAATCCTAACTTGATATGGAAAAAAAAAAGCTATCTAAGCACTCTTTTAGTCTTTTACAGTTTCAGTTTGTGTGATTGTGTTATTTGTGTCAATTCTAACTAACTACAAATGTTTTGAACTTATTGTGTTTTTATGTGTTCACTTATCAGGAAGAAGAATAGACATAGAGTACTCTATATTATATTAATCATATATTCATATATTGCTTTTGGAGTTTTGGATATCTGGCTTTCTTTTGCTCAATGCCTGAAACATGAAAGCTGAATGCTGATGTGCTGATTGGAGACTGATGCAGTGATGCTGTTGGAACTTGCCTGCTTGCTATGAACAATTAAAATTCTCATTACAAGTTTTAATTTTGTAACTTGTAAGTTGTAACTTGTAAGCTAATCTGCTGATTATATGTAAGCTAATTTGTATAAGTTTACTTATGTTATTTACTTATTTTTGCTGTTGAGTAGTTAATAATTACTAGTTAGTGGCTTTTAGTGCTTAAGTAGTTCATTAGTTAGGTACTTAGCCACTTAGGTGTTCCATTTAAATCCATGAATAGAATATTTGATTTTAAGTTTTTTACATTCTGATAAAACCGAATTACAACACGGATATCCGACCGATCCGAACCAATCCGAAAATAAAAATAACCGATCAGATTAGTCAACAAAAATAAACGGTTAGGGTGGTCAAAATGGGAATCCGAAATCCGACCGGGGGTCTCATTCCGCAATCCGATCCGTCCGACTGCACAGGCCTACAAACAACAACAAAATCACCTTCAAAACCTTTTTTTTTTTTTTTTTTTTTAAATCTTAAAACAATACAAAATTTTGTCATTTCGAATTATTGTTTGCTTTCAGATGAGATTTCAAATAGGATTCTCTGCTTAGCTCATTTGAATCATAATCTTTGGGGGAGAGGTGAGAAGGATGAGTTTGGTCACCCAAACTTGATGAGAAGATCTTCCTCATCAGAAACTATATCTTTAACACATCATTTCTATCTTCCACAAAAACATCCCTTCTTTCACCCATCAAACAGATAGATAGATAGATAGATAGATACACTAACTCTCAGGCTACCTGCAACAGAATATATGTATATGTAATTATGAGGTAAGGTTCTGCAAACATTAATTTTCAATATATTTTAAGTGTCATTGATTGTTTATTGAATGAGTTAAGGCTTTCCTGGTATGGGTTTCTTGTCATACCAGCAAATATATTTACCTCAAATATATCTATCGTACCAGGAATCGAGTCTTTTTAGTTCCAAGAACAGTATCGATGCCAACAGTTGCAATTATCTGTCCTATTGTTATACAACTGTGGACTGGTTAGCGGAAAAAGAAACCAGAGGAAACCCAGCAACCCAGCTAGAAATGCGAAAGTTATTAGCCCTACAATTCACAAAAGAGATATTTGAAATTAGGATGTCAACATGGTAAATTGTGCACGTATTATTTCATAACAAATAATTTTTGGGCATCAAAACATTAAGTGAGGTTCTGCAAACTTATCCGGTTATGCTTACTGTCAAACTTATTAATTAAAGTTTTCTCAACAAACTTCAAGAACTAAAGTTGGAATTCAAAAAGGAAAGTTTAGAATATATTAGCATAATAGCAGCCATAAAAATAAGCCAAGGGCAAACTTGTAAGTTGGAACTGCAATTCATATCACATATGTCATAATTTGAACTTATCAAAAGTAAGATAAGTGGCATAATGTGGCATAGCTTATTGCTTCTTGAAAAATTAGGCTTTTAAAAAATGCCTCAACTTGAAGTTTCTTGAAAAGAGGTTTTTACTCCTAAAGAACTTTTAGTAGGAGTTAAGCCCCAAACTAAGCCAGGCCTGAATGGTCAACAAAAATTTAAGAAGGGTTAAGAAGTCCAAACAAGGAGAAAATGTGGAACTTAAGAAGTAATTCAAGTCATATTTCACCATAACACAAAATTCAAGCAAAATTGATTAGGCAGGTTTCTTCGCAGAGGTAGCTTTTATCAAAAAAGCAACAGATTCTTGGTGCACAATTTACTTAATATATGAGGTCAAATGCCTAAATACAAAGATTCAGTATTGTAACGATCAAGGACAAATAGGTAAAGATAGTAGAGGATCTTCTAGAATCTACTTAAACCGGGGAAAAAATATTAGTATACATGATCATGTTATTGAAAGTTTTATGTTTACCTATAGATGTAGTATTTAAGTATCTAATATGTACAAGTGCACTAAATGCATGTGCTTATCTGTGTATTTATCCTTATCGAGTACGGCTTGGAGTAGCATGTATGAACTTTTATGTTGGAATTCAAAAGGTAAAGTGCTAACTAACTAATCACATACCTGACCTCCTAGAAACTATAGCAGGCAAGCCCATATAATTACAAAAGATATGAGCAACAAGTGGAGCAACCAGATGCCCTGCAAACAAAACAAATAAAGGTAACAAGCAGCAAAAGTTTATACTTCTAGCATAAGTAGGAGAAGAAACCAAAACATGAGAAGTTGAAAAAAGCTAAAAACACTGCCAAGTTCATGAAAAAATATGATCTGAGTTTACATGAGCAGTTAGTATGCAAGGAGAGACAAGGGATTGTATTCCATTTTGAAATGAAATCTCAGAATTCATTTTCTGTATTGTGAATCATAAATCAACACTGCCTCTTTCAAGTAAATATAAATAAATGATACACAAATCCTTACTTTCAACTGAAGCATTAGGATCAAGGTCCAATCCAACATGTGATTAAGGCATTAGGATTCATTTATATATCTTTTATTAGCTCAATTTTGGAAAATGTCATTCTTGTTTAGTGTTCATGCTCATTAATACAATTCTAATATTAAACTCGACTGAAGTTAGAAATTTAGTGAGGTTGTTAGTAAAACTTAAATGCCAAAAAGATATTAGGTATTTAGGTAGCATTATTCCTGAACATCTGAGAAGTATGCTAAACCAAAAATCACATCAAAATTCGAACCAAGAGAGAAGGGAAACAGGTTCTTTGATGAAACAAAAATAAGATGTACAAAGACCAACAATATCTAAGCATTTCATACCTGTGCGAATATATAGAAAAGAAGCATATGATCCAAAAATGACAGTGTAGCCAAGCTGGAAAGCTACAAAGATGAGCACACAAAATGATTATTAATTCCCAACAATAAAGCTATGAATGGTAATTTATAGTAACATTTCATCACCAATATTCTCTACTCTCCAGAGATGGTAACCTCCACAATGCCACCAGAAATAGGAAGAGAATGAGAGAGAAGTGTTGCATTCAAGTATTACAAATACAAAGTTGGCAATACCTGCAACCATAAAAGCTTGGAGCAAGTTGCCTCTTCGTTGGGCATATTCCAATAAATGGTTCAAATGAGCTGCAAGGAAATGAAATCAAAGTTCACTCACTTTAGCATGTTATGCAATGCAAAGATTATATATAGGGACTGGGAATTGGTACAACATACAAACTACATAAGATAGAACATGAATTATAAATAAGATGTGGTTTTATCAGGGAGATGTTTTCCATCAAGATCATGCCAAAGATTAAAAATTCAGAGAAAATTATTTATCCAGGATTCTCTTACTAGTTACTATAGGGGTGATAAGTGATTTAAACTTATAACACCCTTATTAATTTCTCAGTATATGCATTTCATGTGCTGGAAATATACTTGTTTCCTCAGGTCCTCCATATATAAGTATAATCCCTAGTGCTTGATAATTGATGAGAGCAGCAATTAGCAAAAATGAAATTTGTTTTCTTACCTAAACTGAAAAAGACAGGACAAAGAAACACAACAGTATGCGTATTGAATCCTCCACAAAGAAGCAAAGGAATCATACAAGCTCTAAATACAAGCTCTTCTGTAACTGGTGCCTGTTCAATAAAACAATATTAATTAGGGAAAATAGTCAAATAAGCCCTTGAACTTTATACGAAAAGCAATTATACCCTTGAACTTTAAAAAGTTACAATTAAACAGTCCAACTTATAAATATTAGTCAAATAAGTCCTATTTAAAATTACAATGACGTGACTTATAGGCCGCTGTAAGCTACAGCTGACTGCCACCGTTCAAAAAAGCCAATTGTCTTCTCCAGGACCGGTTGTCGCCTTCTTGAAGAAGAGGAAGGCGACTAGCGCTGGTCACCTTCTCCAATGGAGAAAGTGACTGGACTGGTCGCCTTCTTCAGTTAAGGCAACCAGTGCTGGCTGCCTTTCTCCACTGGAGAAAGCGACTGCCGATCGTCTTCTTCCATGGAGAGGCAACTGGACTGGTACGACTGGGGAGAAGTTTCAAGTGTTTTATCATAAATGTAAACAAGAAGACATGGCTTGCAAAAAGTTATCATAAAGCTTCTAGTCATGGACTAGCGGGTTCTGGCTGGAAAAACTTTGCACTTGAAAATTTTATTGAAAAAGATGACACCTGCATGTTTAACCTGGTTAGTCAAAGCGACATTGCTGTCATCTTCAAGGTAAACATTTTCCAAGTAGCGGAGGAGGTGGTTGCACCGAATAGATTAGCTGGAACAACCTCAAGGAAAAGCATGCAGCCAACAAACACACCATATGAGCAGCTGCAAACTGGTTTCAAGCATGCAGCTGTTTTGTACTAACTTTAATCTACTCATGTTTTGTTCTTATATTTGAAATCTTGTATAAAGATTAATGGTAGAGATGTTGCGTTAGGATGACATCAACAGGTAGCTCTTTTTAGTGATGTTAATGTTACAGATGCACCTAATGGCAACATTCTGGTCTATATCGAAAGAATCGTAACGGAGGAAGAGCTCCACCAACATCAACCTGGAAACAAACATCACGAAGTCTTTCCCAGCGCACTGTTTGTCTTTCACCATCGGGCTCTCCGTTTCACGGCTTATGGACCAGAGGAAGTTCTTCAACAGCGCCTTTCCTTTCTTGCCGACGAACCGGTTGGCAACAAATCCTTGAGCCCAATTGAAGATTTTTGGGTCTTTGGTGGCGAATGGCTAGAACCGTAATAGCATTTCGCCTTCTTTTACTTGGAACCTGGCATCGTGCAACTCATTCACGATGTCGTGCCTGGCTTTCCCGTATTGGTTGGGGACCGGCGATTCCATCAGAAAGACTCGTACACCATCGCCTTCTTTATCATACAGTCCACTGGTCGCCTTGATACCGGTGACCTTTCACCGTTTGCCGGTCACCAGTTTTATCGTTGGAACATTATTAACCAGAAGTTCAAGTGTTTAATTGCAACT